AAAAAAAAAAAAACAGGGAGGGAAGGAAGAGAAGACAAAAAAAAAGAAGGTAGGAGAAAATGGAAAAGGAACAGAGAGAGACAGGTGAGATAGAAAAACAGCAAGAGAGACAGATGTATAGAGACGACGTGCTAAAGAGACCATCGGCGTGTGACTACAGAGCCGCTCTGTATATTGGAGGGAGATTGTGTGGGCCTGCTATTGACAAACACAGGGCTTGCTCTGTCAACGGCTCAGAGCCATGGAGATAATTGTGTTATTTCTGTAATCCTAAGGAGCAGCAGGAACAGCAGCTTGGAACAGCCCCAAACCAACGTTAATGCCGTACGTGTGTGACTGGCATTCGAGGGACCGGTTCCCTTTGAGGCCTGCTTGAAAACAGCCTCTCAAAGAGTGACATAATGTGTCAGCGAAATCCTTGGCCGAACCATTGTCACAGTCAACTACCAACTAACTAAATTAGAGCGCAATCAAGGCCGTAGCTCTGGGACTAACCCGTGAGAGAGAGAGAGAGAGAGAGAGAGAGAGAGAGAGATTCTGGGTGAAAACAAAGACCGAAGAAGCCTAGGTTTGGCAGATTGCTTGTGAGAGTAGGAGTGCACCTCAGCGCTAATCATCACAACTCCACTATTTATTTAAGCCCAAGATGGAAGTCTCTCAGGAAATCGAATACAAACAAGCCTCTCCCAAGAAATCTGCATATGTGAAGGAGCTATCAAAGCAGGGACATCTCCTAAGCAGGTAGATTTGCTGCTGGCTACAGGCCCTTTGCTGTTGTGTCAATAGCACTGTGGTACTGATGAATGTCTGTTTTGGAACGGAAGTGATGGTGACACTACTGAGCCTGCTCAGTGAGTTTGATCTTCTGTAAGTTTGATTTATTTATTTATTTTGGTGCTAAAAGCTCAGGTGTGCTCAGACTAAATGGATACCAAGTAATTAATTTGTGTGAGCATTTTAATACCCTGACAGGTGACAGGACTTGCAGTTCCAAAAAGTTATTAATTGTATATCTAATTAAATATATTTCACAAGCTGATCACAGTGCTGTGGATTCATAGTGTATTTTAGAAGCTGGAAGTTTTACTGTGACTTTTACTATGACCTTTCTCTGCTTTCCTACTCTTACGGTCTCTTAAATATGTCTCACAATAATGGAACTATGAGTCCATACCAGGGTTTTGCACCATTCAGAATTTAATTGATAACGGCTTCAGGGAGCAGTCTAATGCTTAGAGAGTCGTAACCCAAAGGTTGCGGGTTCGAGTCTCGGTTCCGTGGCGGGAGTGAATAACCAGCGCTCTCTTCCACCATCAATACCACGACTGAGGTGAGACCATTGAGCAAGGCACCGAACCCCCAACTGCTCCCCGGAAACCGCAGCAATATGGCTGCCCACTGCTCCGGGTGTGTGTTCACGGTGTGTGTGTTCACTACTGTGTGTGTGCACTTGGATGGGTTAAATGCAGAGCACAAATTCCGAATATGGGTCACCATACTCGGCCACACATCACTTCACTTCACTTCACAAATTCCAATTCATAGATAGGAAGATAGATACAGACAGGCAAAACAATAGAGAGAACGACCGACGGACGGACAGACAGACAGACAGACGGACAGAGAGAGATAGATAGAGATGGTACTCAACCAGAATGAGCTTTTTACCGCCGCGGGTACCGCCGCTTCTGCAAAATGCATTTGCAGCTTTTGACCGCTGAGTGGCGCTTTAACCACAAGTTATCAAGCGAACGCATCAAAGCGCATTTTGGCAAAATAGCAGTCGGCTTTGCCTTGCCAATGGGTTACATTTGATGGCTAGAGTCAGCGGAAAATCTAAGAAAAACACTGTAGTTTAAATAATTCATATCCACAGAAGCAAATTTAGTAGCCTACATATGAAGATATGTGCTTTGTTATTTAGAAAGAACTCAAGCAGGATAAATGTCAAGCCTGTGAGCCTGTGCTTAAATTTTACTCTATACTGCAGTACTACACCATATTTTAGTCAAAAAGAGGCCTACATCACCCATAATCTTCCTACTAACAATAATCAACCTTTTTTATCGTTTTAATTCATATCCACAGAAGCAAATTTAGTAGCCTACATATGAAGATATGTGCTTTGTTATTTAGAAAGAACTCAAGCAGGATAAATGTCAAGCCTGTGAGCCTGTGCTTAAATTTAACTCTATACTGCAGTACTACACCATATTTTAGTCAAAAAGAGGCCTACATCACCCATAATCTTCCTATTAACAATAATCAACCTTTTTTATCGTTTTATATTTTTATGGCAAAATGGACACCTCTTTAAACTTAATAAATAGTCAAAGAGCTAATCTAAAATACTGGCTGGTACTGTACAGTAAAAAGTAAGCATACTTCAAGCACTGCCGTTACTGTGATATTTCATCATAACAGTGGTCAAATAGCTGTAACAATAAACATTTATTTGATGAATAATTCAAGATTAAATGTTATAATAATTTACTAGCCTATTATTGTAATATTACCACTGATTTATTTCATTATTTTTATCTTTATTTACAAGTGAAAATGTCACAATTCCAGCTTTATTGAGCAATGGTGTCAACCGTCCCTTTGTTCCACCTGGTGGTAATGTCGTGAACAAGTTTCACATGTGACTGGGTTTTTATTTAACACCGTGGCGGTGGTACACATGGCGGTATTAGGCATTTTGGTTGACTACCTACTGTAGATTAGATAGATAGATAGATAGATAGATAGATAGATAGATCCATGGATATGTTATGGGTATAGGTATGTTTCCACTCAAGAGAGTCAGCAGTGCACTCAGAAAACAGCTCCAATCGGAGAAACTCGAAGACCTGAAAAAATAAAATATCTGAAAACTGGGCTCCCGAAGGATCTTAATTTTTTAGGGGAAGGGCCGCAGGTGAGGGAACAGCTTTCAGCCATATTGTGGAGCTCAAGATACCCCCAACCACCCCCTTAGGCACACTGTCACACCCTTCCACCAGCTGGCTCTCCCACCTGGGTAGCCCACGCTCTCCTCTCCAACACATCCTCAGGCTCTTCAGCTGTTAGAGATCCGCAGCCCGCCAGGCCCGCACCTCCTCAGTCCGAGCGGTGCTGGATTAATGAGAAACAGACACAGCTCAGCCCATCACAAACTTCCACTCATGGTGGAAAAGGGCAGTTTGAGAGACTATTTTTGTACTTGCAGCAGGCTTGCTGATTGAATTACACTCCACCCTACGTATTTATGACATTGATTTTTATCTGCAGGCTTGCACCATTTCGTAGTGATTCAAAAAGTGTGATCTTGCAGAACTGAATAACTAGAGAAGAGCAGGACAGCGTCACTGTTTCTAAGACAAATCATTAGTGCATAATAGGCTACAGTTCCCCCGTCTGTCCATCACTGAAGATAGGAACAGGACTTCTGCCAACAGCCAAGTGAGCGAAGTCTCTTGATCTACCCACTAGAATATGCTTAGAGTATTGACACAAGCAAAAGACTCACAAAACAGGACGTGTTCGCCACCTCTCCAAGAGGCTAAGAAGCTTTTATTCATGTCAAAACTGCATTTTGTTATGTGTTATTTAGAAAGGCATTAAAGACACAAATTCTAATTGTCTTTTGGGTTCTTTTGATTATATGGTTCATGTCTTTTATATGGAAAACTGTTGCAAAACATTCTTTAAAATGCATTATTTTTTCCAAAGAAGAAATAGCCTACAGTTTAAAGGATAAAAATCCAATCATCACCACATATGAATAACAAAAAAGAAACCAATATCTACATTAAGTACTTCTCTAAAACACCATAATGAAGCTAGAGAAATAAAGTTTTATTTAGAAGATATCTTTTTTGTTAGTGTTGTGTTAAATACAGAAAAAATAAACTGGGCCTCACAGCGTTACAAAGATAAAGGCAGCGTCTGCGTATAGTGAAACAAACAGATGGCTCATTAAGATTTTATGGAGAACCGCATTTATACAAAGAAATTAAAGTTAATTCAAGACATGTTGTGTACATGGAGGACATAAATAACATGAATGAA